AATATTTTATCAATGAAAAGTTTTTCTGAATTTCTAGAAAGAATATACTGGATTCTCTTTTAAGTTTCATTAATTCAAATGCTTTTCCACTTTTTATTATAGGTAAATCCTACCTACCTAAATGTTTTGTCAAAACAGGGCAAAATACAAAGAGTATGTTAACCTAGAACCTAGAGCTTAAGTCTAATATTTTTTAATTAATTAATTATTTTTAAGAATGTATTTATTCATGAGAGACACAGAGAGAAGCAGAGACACAGGCAGAGGGAGAAGCAGGCTCCCTGTGGGGAGCCTGATTCGGGACTTGATCCCAGGACTCAGGGATCATGATCCAAGCAGAAGGCAGACACTCAACCACTGAGCCACCCAGGTGCCCCCAAAGATAGTATTTAAATGCATTCCTGAGTGTGTTCTTGAGAACCTTGATAGGTCTCTTCATCGTGACTAGAGGTTTCAAAATATCACCTTGAAAGTGAGGACTTACATGAAGGGCAGATGTGATTTCTTTTCTCTTTTTACTTTTGTCTGCTAGCCGCTGTGATTGGAACCAGGCTGCATGCTGCTGTGGCAATTGCCTGCATTGTAATGGCCTTTTACGTCCTGTTTGTAAAATGAATTCCAAAGCATCCATCTCATCAGCTGCCAACCAAGAGGATGAGGGTGAAGAAACTGTCCGGGGCCTGGGCCCAGTGTAAGAGAGCTCAGCTAAAATCATCAAAGTCCCCAAGATGACACCACAGCATCTGCCCCTACTGTATATAGGGGAAATTCCTCCTGGTTACAAACATTATTTATGCTTCAGGGGACTCCAGAAGGCCAACTTCCTTTGACCTGTGTGTGAATCAGTCCTCAGCAGAGAGCATATAATGTCCAGATAAATTACACCCCACGGTGACAAGGTTACATACCTCCTGCATCAAAACCTGTCACCCATTTTGTTCTTCAGCCCATCCTGAGGAGCTTTTCAAACCGAGCCTCATTAGGGAAGGACATAGGCTATATTCACACCTCTTGGAGAATTTTCAAGACTTGACTTTTTCCCCCCCACTGTTTGATTTGGATTTGGCAAATTGGTGGGGGTGGTAGGGGGGGCGGTAGGTGGGTGAGGGGGGAGGAGGGGAATAGGAGTTAAACAATACCAAGAAAAATTTTCAGCTTTGGAAATTTCTCTTTCATATACCCATCTGGGAACAGAAAAGAGAGGCATGGTCCTCACTGCAAAAAGAGGAGAGATGAAATAGCTGTGCTGTGTTGGTAGCTCAAGAGTTTGCCAAGAAAATCTGGGCCTATATAAGATTTAGGAATTATCTGTCTGTGATGAGACCAGAAAGCAGTAACTTGGGATGAGAAAAATGTTCTGTTCACCAGTATCCCCCAAAAAAGACTTCATCCCATCAAATGGTATAGAGAAAATGAATCCACTGTTGTAATTTTCCTAAAACCTTTTTATGTACTCTAAGTTACTGAGTACTAAATAGCGTTACTCAGTCTTAAATGCCATTACTAGGGAAAAGAGAAAGTATTGAAGAAATAATTTTTAATATATTTGCAGTTAGAGTAAAATTTAGTATATAATTCATACACTAGTAAAGTCATTTAGTATAAGAATTTATTGTGATGTTAGATGAATGTTTTGTCATGTTATCCAAGACACAGCCTTATTCTGTGTTTGAGTTGGGTTATTATGGCAATTTCTAATTGATTGCTTGTTTTTCTTGGGCAACTCTTAGTTTTCCTCATATTGCAGTACTCTTTAGGTATCTTGGAAACTCTTTGTATTATAAGAACACAGTAAATTCAAATGAGCGAGAGAAGTTGTTGATATTCACGGGCATGTTTGGACAGTTCATAGAATCCATGGATAAAATGAGGGTGTTTTCTAAAGTAAAGGAAAACAGATGTTTCCAATAGAGATTAATAGGCCTTTCCATGGATATGATACCTTACACAAATCATTTTAGATGACTCAACATTTGAGAAAAGACTTACCCATTTAAAAAAGAGAGTTGGTCTAAAATTAAATTATTGTAAAAAGCCAAGCAAAAGTATAGAAACTAATTGGATTGTCCATTACAGTAAAACTTGACTATGGACAGGTTAGCTGTGGTTGACCCCTATGTGGCAGGAAATTGTTTTTTTTTTCTTATCCCCAAAGAAAAGCTGCTAGGAAGTTTAGGTTCCAAAATAGGCAGTTCAGTGCTTTGAGGGTTTCTAGAGGTGTAGAAAGTCCTCAAGTAAACACTACATGTCTAATCATCTCAGAGTTGTGGCTTTTGCCTCTTCCGGAATTGGCCTGCAGGGTAAATTTCAATGATTAATGTGTTTTCCATTGTCACTTCTGAGGATCTTTCGCATGAGGGAAAGGACATCTATTGGAATAGAAAGGAAGAGTTACACCTTGTAGGTGTGTTTGGGACCTGTTGGCCAGCAGGAATGTCACTCCCTGGAAATACAGGTTTAGCATGTTTTGCACTTATTTTGTAGCTTTAATGACTTGTTTTCCAATAGGGCTAATGTCTCTAAGCTTGGTGAGTGAGCTGCTTCATATTTCATTTCACAGTTCTAGTTCAAACCAATTTTTTCAACCTCCCAGATGGGTCATCTTGACCTAAATTGTTATATTTTGAGATGTTTTCATACAAGAATGTACCAAAAACGTGCACAAAATGAAGGTAATTTACAGCAAGAAACAAATACACAGCTTATTTCATTTCTTGCCTTTATGTAAGCAGATGAGCAGACGGCTGTTTAACTCATTACTTTGGTTGATGTGTCATATATATTTTGACTAAAAATTATAGGAAGTTGTTCCTCTGAGGGAGTCTTTTAGGGGTGGAAGCAGGGGGATAGCAATATTGCCTCAGATTCAAACTGGCATCACCATAAACCCTGAATACCAGGGTGGAATGGAGTCAGCCTTTTATAGTTGAAATACAATTTTTTATTCACCATTGTATTGCACAAATCCTTGAAAATAAAATTTCTTTCCCTACCATTTTTGTCCATTTTATTTGTCACATGATGAATTCATTAAGTGTTCAACAGTCCCCTGGGTTCTACCCAAGTATACCTTTTTAGTTTATTAGTGACTAATAAACTGTTAGTTTATTCCTGTTAATCCCTTGTAATGGTCAGCAAATATGCGATACAGTTCAGAATTTATGAAGGTGTAGTTTCCTCCTTTGAGGGAACTGATACATGTATTAGCTTATATATAAGCATGTATATATGAATAAGTTTTAAAGTATATTAAGTAAGGCAGATAACACTCCATACATTTTATCTACCACTGCTATTGAAATAAAAATATCTGTCATTACCAGTCATAAACTTCATTCAAATGAGATTATCAGGGATGCCTGGGTGGCAGGGCAGTTGAGCTCAGGGCATGATCCTGGAGTTCCAGGATGGAGTCCCAAATCGGGCTCCCTGCATGGAGCCTGCTTCTCCCTCTGCCTGTGTCTCTGCCTCTCTCTCTCTCTCTCTCTGGGTGTCTCTCATGAATAAATAAGTAAAACCTTAAAAAGAAAACAAAACAAAAAATGAAACATGAGATTATCAGGTTAACCATCCCTGCACCCAGAAAATCCTTGAGCCAGTGGGATTCTGACATGAATGGATAGTTTTCCCCTATTTGTTTATTCCAAGTGCACAGTGGAACTGGCACAGTTACAAATTATAAATCCACAAAATTCTTCTGATGTACCTTACCCACACACAAACGTTTTTTGTTGGAAAAGGAGAAAGAAGGAACTGACATGTAAAAAATTGTGTCCCTTGATGTGAAAGGAGCTAATTCTCATTATATAGTCACTACTCATTCTGGAGTTTGAAAGACATGCTTTAATGGACAGTAAGTGAAGGCTCAGCAATATGAAGAAATAAAGCTCCCGGGCACCCAGGTGGCCCAGCGGTTTAGCCCCGCCTTTGGCCCAGGGCGTGATCCTGGACACCCGGGATCGAGTCCTGCGTCGGGCTCCTTGCATGGAGCCTGCTTCTCCCTCCTCCTGTGTCTCTGCCTCTCTCTTGAATAAATAAAATCTTAAAAAAAAAAAAAATGAAATCAAGCTCCCAGTAGTAAGAGGGCTCTTGTAAATGACAGGGATATGCCTTCCTGCTTTTACTCATTTCACAGCCTGACTACTAAGTCATTGGATTTATTATTTCTTTAAAGATTTTTATTTATTCATGAGAGACAGGCAGATACACAGGCAGAGGGAGAAGCAGGCTCCATGCAGGGAGCCGGATGGGGACTGGATCCTGGGACCCTGGGATCAGGTCCTGAGCTGAAGGCAGGCGCTCAACCGCTGAGCCACGCAGGGGTCCCTAAATCATTGAATTTAAATAATCTATTCTCACTTTTCCCTTTGGTAAAATGTTTTCCTTTTCCCTTGGGAGAAGGAGCTCCTGGGGGCGCCGATCCTGGTTAATGGCCAGGGTTGCCCGCTCCATGGGACAGCAGTCATCACCTATAAATCTGCGACTGACTCATCTTATATCCAGAACTTGGATCAAAGACGTGGGTCGAAGATCAAAGGAAAGCTATAGATACGGATATAAATATGTACTTGGGCAAAGATCGTACGTAAGGTAAGCACGATCAGGGCAGCCCCCGTGGCTCAGAGGTTTAGCACCGCCTGCAGCTCAGGGCGTGATCCTGTAGACTCGGGATCGAGTCCCACGTCGGGCTCCCTGCATGGGGTCCCGCTTGTGTGTGTGTGTGTGTGTGTGTGTGTGTGTGTGTGTGTGTGTGTGTGTGGTGTGATGAATAGACAACTACAATCTTTAAAGAGAGGATGGGAAAAAAGACAAGCACGATCTTACGGTCTAGTCTTGCCGGAGTTTGTCCAAACCTTCCCGGGGACCCGGGTTCCCCCTCCGAGCCACGCGAGGGCAGCAGAGCGCACCGAGGGCGCGCCCGGCCGAGTTCGTTGCGCTCAGTGGCTCCTCCCAGAAGCCTCCGGGGCGGAGGCCTTTAAAAGGGGGTACCGACTTCCGGCCCTTCCCGGAGGGAGAGCGGCCTGGGGCGGCGGTGCTGCGTGTGGGGCTGCGATGTGCGTGGAAGGCGCGTGTGGGCTGAGTGAGTGGGCGCGCGAGTGCGGTGGGTCCACGTGGGGCGTGCAAGGCGAGCGTGTGTGCGCCGTCCCTGAGCCCCTCCCCCCGTCTACACCTTGATCTTATTTGATCGGGTTGTGACCCAGCCCCGCCGGGCCGGCCCGAGATGAAAAGCTCCCTCCTGCGAAGCCCCCTCCGCGGGGCGCTGTGCGGCGAGGCCCGCGGGCGGCGGCAGCACCGCGGCCCCGGCACTGGTCTGACGGGGCCCGGAGCTCAGAAGTGATGAATTGATCAGATAGACGAGGCCGGGCCCGTCCCGCGCCGCTGATTATCGAGGCGATTCTGATCTGAGCCCGGCCCCGGGGCGCGGCCGCCGGAGGCCCCGGGTGCAGCCGCAGGCACGGGAGGCTTGTGTGCGCTGCACGGTTTTCCTCCGCCCGTTGCCTTCCCCGCAGGCCTGGCCCTGGTGGCCCTGGTGGACTCTGTACGGCGTCTGACACTGGTTAGGTCTACGGGCGTGCGTGTACGGGTGTTACACACACGGATCCCGTGAGAGCGTGGAGCGCCTGCAGGGTCCTGAGTGCGGGGACTGGCCCCAGCTTTACGGAATTACAATTCTCAGGGAGGCTTTTTTTAAACCTCGATGTATGGGGTCACGATAATAAATTTTTTAAAATTCAGTATCAAATAACCTGCATGCGATGATTACCCAGAGTCCTTCCTCTCTGCCACTTTCATCCGGTCTAAACAGTGAGAACTGGGACGCCCGGGGGCTCAGTGAGATCCTGGAGACGGGGGCCTGCTTCTCCCTCTCCTGTGCCTCTGCCTCTCTCTGTGTCTCTCTCATTTAGAGAGAGAGAACTGAAACTTCATATTGCCACTTGGCAGCAGATGTGATCTGAATAGGCTGGAGTCTCTGGAAGAGGGCTTGTGATAGTTTGATGGTTTAAGGACCCTGTACCTGAGTAACAGGAAGCAGCTTTCTCATCTGAATTATGCAACAATGCATATGCTGTCCAAACTTAGAAATAGGAACTGATCCTAGGGTATTCTGAAAGGTCTGCAGTTTCTTGCCTAATCTAACATCAGGTTCCCCTGAGTGACTTGTAATTTTAGAAACCACATCAATGCATCAGTTTTTAGGTACCTTCAAACCCAAGCACCAGGTTGTTGAATCACGTTTATAAGAATCAAGGACTGTATTTCACAGCACAAATTGACAAAAGGGAATTGGCTCCCAGGCAAGAAGAGAGCAGAGTTAGAGAATGAACAATGGCAAGGAACCAGGACCAGGAAAATGGAACCCTTATGGCAAAGTAGAGTCCAGCAGATGACTAAATTCGGAAGGTCTGACATCTGTTAAGTATGGATGACCTCAGCATAAACGTTAATTCTCCATAGAGCTTCCAGAATTATGGTTTGGTAAGCTCATTAAGAGAATGGGCTGTGCCCACTCTTGTTTCCCTAAAATTTATCTCAGTGTCTGACATACAAGTTTGGAATGAGTCCACTTTACAAAATATGAATACCTGTCCCCTGCTGAAAACAAGATTTTTTTTTCTTTTTTTGATTTAATTAGGCTCCACACCCAGCCCAATGTGGGGCCTGAACTCAAGACCCTAAGACCCAAGACCTCAGCTGAGATCAAGACTGAGACGGTTAACTGAGCCACGCAGGCACCCATGTGCTGTTTAGTTCTAAATCCTTAGCTTTTCAGCAAGATGACTTTCCAAATTGCAAATCTGTCCACGAGGACTAGTTTCTAGAAGTTGGGAAACATCCCTCCCACATTTTAAAAGCAGTTAAGTGGCAACTCTGAGTCCATGGGTAATGCACTTCAGGCTTCATCCAGCAGAAATCTATTTAATGGAGGTGGGCGGCAGTATGTTCCACTATGATTAATTAGTCCAGGGGCCTGTCAACACTAAGTAGAGAAGAAGCCACCATCATTCTTTCGGGAGTAGCCTCCATTGGTGGCAGCAGTGTGAGGGGACACTGTGGAGAAAAGAGAAGAGGGAGTAGGCTGTGAATTGCAAATCCTTTGCCTTTTCTGGGAACCTGTAATCACCCATACATTGCTGGGTACTGTGGAGGAGGTTCTTATAACATCTGGGGAAACTGGCCTATAGAGGACTGATGGGAGATAGCTGTAGGGTCCTCCACTCCCAGATTTCTGTCCTTTGATAGCTAAAGGCTCTGAAAATTCATCTTCTAGTTTATAGGCAGTATGTCCTCTGGTATTAATCTGAGAAAGTGCCAACTTAGTCACTGCTATTCAAAGACCTTCAGTTATCCTTGAAGTTCTCTAATGACCAATCACCTCAATTCCCTGATTCCTGGGTCAATTTAAAAAAGCTCTTGTACCACCCATCTGCCCATCCAGTCTTCTAACCCTTACCTATGGATCCCTGGATGCTGTGGATAGACTCCTTCTTAGGGTTGATCCAGTGTCTGATGTTAGCTCGGGAAGTGACGGAAGGTGGTGGAGGAGGGGGTAAAAGTTCTCCAGGGAATTGGGTCTTGATGATTCTAGAAGATGGTATGGGGAAGAACAGGGGAGAATGAAATCAATCAGAAGAAGAAAGGTGAGGAGGGAAAGAAAGTTGCATGCAGCCTCAAAAATAATGCAGCCAAAGACCTTCTTTATCCTCTGGGAATTAGCTGAATATTTTGTTTGTTTATACAGATGAGCAAAATGCTGGAGGATCTCTATTCACTTTAGTTAATAAAAATACAGAAATTGCATTATAGATGTAAAAAGCACAGAAAAATGTATACAAATGAGTACCTATTGATTATCTTTGTTATTTCCCAGGTGACACTTTACCTTACATGACTGGGTGGCATTGTCCTTAGGGTGGAGAAGTCCTGCCTGCACCACTTACCCATGGATATCCTGGGTGGTCTCCTGGTGTAAAAGTACCTCACTTTTGTTCTTGAATGTCCCTGTGTGGTGGTTGTACAAGGCTGCTAAGCGGAAATCCAGGTCATCCTTTGGTATCTACAGAAGAAGTCAATCCACCCAGGGTTAACTTGCTACCTTTACCTCAACTCTAGTCAAGTTCTGTTGGGCTTACTTTTTCCCCAAAAGCAGAGTGAACTCCTTTTGGGCTTGATGTCCACCAGCTCCTTACACATCAAAGGCATCTTGACTCTTGTCAATATAGAATTGTGTCATAGGTCTAATGGGGCGGGGGGGGTGAGCTCTCACTGGAGATATGGAAATCATATTGTCCTCCACTTGGGCTTAATGGGCCTTATGTCATGTATGGTTATCAGAAGAATGAAAAGTCTGGTGAGAAAATGATTTGCTCCAGATAATCTACTGTAGCAAAACACAAGCCTTCTGACTTCCCAGAGGCCAGATAAATTGATATTAGGCTTTAGGTTTGGTAGGACCTTGGACTAGGGACAAAATAAAGATGCTGATGCCATTGAGGACAGACTACCTTTCAAAAAAGATATATATGAATCTTAAGCAGGTGTGAAGAGAAATAGTTTTTCAATGCTAGGTACCTCAGGATCAAGAAAATAAATATCCCGCCTCGTGGAGGTGATTGTGGGAGTTGAGCTGAGCCGACTCCAGGGTTCCTGTTGCTGAGCAAGGTGAGTTGGGTTCTTATATGGCAGTTTCTGCAAAAGAGAAACCACAGCAGGACCTGGTTAAGGAGGCCTTGCTGATATGATAGCTTCAGTGACATCCATCTCCTTATTCCATGCTAGTGTAACTGAAGCTCAGGGGGTCTCTTCAAAGGGAAAAACGATATGAGGCAAGACTCCCAGGCTTTTGATGCTCTTAGGTTTTCAATATTAGAACTGACAAAAGTTGGCCAGGAATACAGGAAAAGGGGTGGAGTGGGACAGCCGGTGGTGAGTGTGGAGAAGATAAGGAAGATGAGCTCATGTTTAGATGTCCTCTGAGTTTGAAGAAAAGGTTAAGTTGCCTGAATGCAGTCAACAGGTGGAACATGGGAAGTTGAAACTTGAAGGAGAGCTCAGAGCAAGTAATAGAGGTCTGGGGATCATCCACATGAAGTAGTGGCTAAAGCCTGCAAAAAGGATTGTGGCCAAAAGGGCTCATGATTGCACAATATTATAATGGGGAGGGGGAGGAGAGAGAAAAGATACTAAGGTAATCAGAAACAGGAGAATCAGTAAAGTGCAGTGTCTAAGCAGGAAGAGAAGATTTCAGTAAGCAGAGAAGGGTCGCTGTGACTGCAGAAGTGTCAAGGAAAATGTTGGAGAGTCACTCTTCTAAATAGAACCTCATAAACATCAATGTGAAAAGCACACAAGTGATTTCTTCATTTAATGTAAAATGCCACATTGTTCACATCCTTAGTACCTAGAGCAGCGACCTAACACATGGTATTCAAAAATGAAATATTGTTTGAATAATGACTGCATTCCAATGAGTATAGCTTCAACCTAGTAGAAATCAAATTCAATCTATTCAGTGTTGGAACCCTCCTCTCCTCTACATATGACAAAGTGCTTGTGTAACTTGGGTCAGGCATTAATTGAATAGTACGTACCAGACAGTGTGCTGTCACAAAAAATATGATAAATGAAATAAGAAAACTAGAAATACATGATGCAAGCATAGGCAGCTCTCCTCCAATTCCTCAAAGGCTACATAAGCTTCATCATGTCCTCATTCAGCAGAAGAATGAGACTGTCCTCCACTGAGAAAGTAAGACTGTCAAGCATGAATACCATCCTCATATCCATTGTCCTATCTCAAAGAAAGGGATATACCTTTTACTCAAGGATAACCCTTATGAATGGAAAAAGATATTACATTCAAATTGAAGCAAAAAAAAAACCAAACAGGTAGCAATATTTATATTAAACAAAATAAACTTTAAAACAAAGACTGTACCAAGAATCACATAAAGGCATTACATAGTGATAAAGGGACCAATTCAACAAGAGGATATAACAATTGGGAAGATTGGGATGCCTGGGTGACTTGGTCGTTGAGCGTCTGGCTTTGGCTCTGGGCGTGATCCTGGAGTCCCATATCGGGCTCCCTGTAGGGAGCCTGCTTCTCCTCCCTCTGCCTATGTCTCTGCCTCTCTCTCTGTCTTGTGAATAAATAAGTAAAATCTTTTAAAATCTAAAAAACCAATTGTGAATATCTATGTACCCAAAATAGGAGCACCTAACTACTTAGAGCAAATTTTTCCTTAATAGACATAAAGGAAGAAACTGACAGTAATACACCAATATTATGGGGCTTTAACATGCACTTACATCAACGGATAGATCATCCAGACAGGAAACCAACAAGGAAATGACGGCTTTGAACGACTCATTAGATCAGATGGACCTGACACATAGATACACAACATTCCACATATTCTTTTCAAGAGCATACGGAGCATTCTCCAGGAGAGATCACACATCAAGACAAAAAACAAGTCTCAATAAATTTAAGAAGACCAAAATCACATCAAGAAACTTTCCAACCACAGTGGTATGAAACTAGAAGTTAATTAGCAGAAAAGAAAAAAACTGGAAAAAATACAAACAGAGAGGCTAAACAACATGCTACTAAACAACCAATGGGTCAACTAAGCAATCAGAGGAAATAAAAAAATACAGAGAAAATGAAAACACAATTGTCTGTCTGAAGCCTTTGAGAGTTGTAAGAGGGAATTTTATAGTGATACAGGCCTACGTCAAGAAACAAGAAAAGAAAAAGAAACAAGAAAAATCCCAAACAATCTAATCTTCTACCTAAAGAAATTAGAAAAAAAGAATGAACAAAGCCTAACAAAGAATCTAACAAAATTAGTAGAAGAAAATAATAAAGATCAGAGCAGAAATAATGACTAATACACACACACGCACACACACACAGATCAAGGAAACCAAATGAAACCAAGAGCTGGTTCTTGAAAAACATGAAATTGATAAACCTTGAGCCAGACTCCTCAGGAAAAAAGAGAGTGAGCAAGGACTTAAATAAAATCAGAAATGAAGGAGGAGAAATAATAACCAACATCACAGAAACACAGAGAATTATAGCAAAATACCATGAAAAAATGCATAGGATCTTCCTAAACTAAATGAAAAAGAAATAGAAAATTTGAACAGATGAACTACTAGTAATAAAACTGAAATCATAATTTAAAAACCCAATAAACAAAAGTGTAGGACCAGATAGCTTCACAAGTGATTCTGTTAAACATTTAAAAAAGAGTTAACATTCTTTTCATTTTTTTATTTTTATTTTTATTTATTTTTTTTAAGATTTATTTTTATTTATTTATGAGAGAGAGAGAGGGGCAGAGACACAGGCAGAGAGAGAAACAGGCTCCATGCCGGGAGCCCGACACGGGACTCGATCCCAGGACTCCAGGATCGGCCCTGGGCCAAAGGCAGGCGCGAAACTGCTGAGCCACCCAGGGATCCCCACTCTTTTCATTTTTTAAAAAAATATTTTTATTTATTTATTCATGAGACAGAGAGGCAGAGACACAGGCAGAGGGAGAAACAGGCTCCATGCAGGGAGTCCTTGGGACTCGATCCCAGGTCTTCAGGATCACGCCCTGGGCTGAAGGTGGCGCTAAACCTCTGAGCCACCTGGGCTGCCCCAACACTCTTCAAACCATTCTAAAAAATAGAAGAGGAAGGAAGTCTTCCAAATTCATTCTACAAGGCCAGCATTACCGTGATACCAAAATCAGACAGAGACTACGAATGAAAGAAAACTACGAGCCTATATCTCTGGTGAACACAGACATAAAAATCTTCAATAAAATATTAGTAAGTCAAATTCAATAATACATTTAAAGGATCATTCGCTATGATCAAATGGGATTTATTCCAATGATACAAGGGTAGGTCAGTATTCACAAATCAGTGTGATACATCACATTAACAAGGAAGGATAGAAACTGTATGATCATCTCAATAGATGCAGAAAAAGCATTTGACAAAATACAACATCTGTTTATTATAAAAAATCTCAAGTAGATTTAGAGGTAATGTATCTCAACACAATAAAGGTAAATATGAAAACCCGCAGCCAACATCATTTTCAAGGTGAACAACTGAAAGATTTTCCTCTAAGGTCAGGAACAAAACAAGGATGTCCACAATTACCACTTTTATTGAACATAGTACTGAAAGTCTTAGCTGCAGCAATCAGACAAGAAAATGGAATAAAAGGCATCCAAATCGATAAGGAAGAAGTAAAACTGTCATTGTTTGCACATACATGATACTATATATAGAAAACCCTACAGACTACTAAAAAACTATTAGAACTAATAAATAAATTCCCTAAAGTTGCAGAATACAAAATTAATATAAAGAAATCTGTTGTTTCTATACATCAATAAAAAAGTGGAAAGACAAATTAGAAAACAATTCTATTTACAATTGCACCAAAAATAATAAAATATCTAGGAATAAATTTAACCCCGGCAATGAAAGATCTATTCTCTGAAAATTATAAGACACTGGTGAAAGAAATTGAAGATAGCACAAATGGAAAGATACATCATTCTTATGGATTGGAAGAATTAATATTGTTAAAATGTCCATACTACTCAAAGTAATCTACAAATTCAGTGCAATCCCCATCAAGATACCAATAGCATTTTTCACAGAAGTAGAAAAAATAATCCTAAAATTTATAGAACCACAAAAGACTTCGAACATCAGAGCAATCTTGAGAATGACCAAAACTGGAGGTATCACAATCCCAGATTTCCAGATACACTACAAAGCTATAGTAATTAAAACAATATAGTACCTGGGGTGTTTTCTGGCTTAGTCAGAAGAGCATGCAACTCTTGATTTTGGGGTCATGAGTTTGAGCCCTACTTGAGTGTAGAGATTGCTAAAACAAATAAGCTTAAAAAAAACACTATAGTACTGGCACAAAATTAGACACCTAGATCAATCAATTAGGATAGAGAGCCCATAAATAAACCCAATGCTTATATGGTCAATTAATCTATGGAAAAGGATGCAAGAATATACAATAGGGAAGACAGTTTCTTTGATAAATGGTGCTGGGAAAACTGGGCAGCTACATGCAAAACAACAAAATCGGGGCACTTTCTTACACCATACACAGAAACAAAATGAAAATGGATTAAAGACTAAATGTGAGAACTGAAACCACTAAAAGAAAACATAGGCTATAATTTCTTAGGTATTAGCCTTATCAGCATATTTGTGGGTATATCTCCTCACGGAAGGCAAACAAAAGCAAAAATAAACTATTGGAAATACACCAAAATAAAAAGCTTTTGCACAAAGGAAGCCATCAACAAAATGAAAAGAGAACCTACTGGATGGGAGAAGATATTTGCAAATGATGTATCTGATAAGGAATTAATATCCAAAATATATAAAGAACTTATACATAACTCAACACCAAAATACCTAATCTGATTATGAAAAGATGCTTAACATCACTGATGATCAGGGAAATGCAAACCAAAACCACAATGAGATACCACACCAGTCAGAATGACTAGTATGAAAAAGACAAGAAGTAACATAGTGTTGGCAAGAATGTGGAGAAAAGGGAACATGTAAATTGGTGTAGCCATTGGGGAAAACAGTATAGAGGCTCCTGAGAAAATTAAAAATAGAAATCCGAGATCCCTGGGTGGCTCAGCGGTTGAGTGCCTGCCTTCTGCCCAGGCCGTGATCCTGGAATCCCGGGATCGAGTCCCACATCGAGCTCCCTCATGGAGCCTGCTTTTCCTTCTGCCTATGTCTCTGCCTCTCTCTGTGTGTCTTTCAGAATAAGTAAATAAAATATTTTAAATAAATAAATAAATAAATAAATAAATAAATAAATAAATAAATAAATAAATAAATAAATAGAAATCCATACGATCCAGTAACCCCAATACTAGGTATTTACCCAAAGAAAATGAAAATACTTAATCCAAAAGGATATATGCATTATGTTTACTGCAGCATTATTTACAATAGCCAAGATGTGGAAGCAACAAAAGCTCCCATCAATAGATGAAAGGATGAAGAAAATGTGCTATCTATATATATATCTATATATAGCTTTATTGTTTATCCATTCATCTACCTACCTACCTATCTATCCACAATGAAATATTACTCAGCCATAAAAAAGAAAAATCTTGCCCTTTTCCATAACATGGATGGAGATAGATGGTATTTGCAACGTGAAATAAATCAGACAAAGAGACCAATACCATATTATTTCAATTATATGTGCAACCTGAAGAACAAAACTAAACAAGAGCAGAAACAGACCCATAAATGCAGAGAACAAACTAATGGTTGCCAGAAGGAAGGTAGGTGGAGAGATGGGTGAAATAGGTGAAGAAATTAAGACATACAAACTTCCAGTTATAAAATAAATAAGTCATGGGCATGAAAAGTACACCATAAGAAACAGAGTCAGTAATACTGTAATAACGTTGTATGGTGACCGGCGTTGACTACACTTACTGTGGTAGACACTGAGTAATGTATAGGATTGTCAAATCGCTATGCTGGACAGCTGAAATGAATAGGAACACTGTATTTGTCATCTATACTTCAAAAATAATAATAAAAATGAAGAACCTTTCTTCCCTGAAACTAACCTTTCCTTGTGCTTCAGAGACCTGTACCATCTTGGCATCCCCTATACCCAGCCCCTCTCTCATTCCTTCATCACTGTCTTGCTATCACTCTATCACTTTCCCTTCAGAACTAGACTTCTTCAAGAGTCAACATTTACTACCTCCACTTCCTCCCCATTTCCAAACCCTCTTTAGCCACTGCAGTCCAGCTTCTTTCTTAAGCAAGCACTGAAACTGATCTTTATCTTTAGCTACGTTAGGTGGATCCTTTCCAGACCTGGTCTTATTTGGCTTCTGCATTTTCTGGCACCATGATTCTGATTTCCTCGAATGTTCCCTCTATGCTCTGTAGGGCCAGATCCTCCTGATTTTCCTCTAGTTGTTACTGTTCAGTTCCCTTGTCAGCTCTACATTCTCTCTCTGCTCCTTAGTGCATTCTCCAGGAGTTTCATTTCTGGTTTTCGTATTCTCACATTCACTGGATGAGCTCATTCCTTCCTGTGGCTTTGACCACCACATGGATGCTGTGGCTTCCAGAGACACAACTTCAACCTAGAACTCTCAACCATGTTGCCTGCTATTCAACTCCACTTAAATGTCCCACAGGCACCACAAAAGCAACATCTACCTAACTGACCTGAACTTCTTTCTCCCTAAACCGGCTTCCCCTGGATGCCTCATTCAGTAAATGATATCAATGAAGCCCTCAGAAACCTAGGAGCTATCCTAGACTTGTTCCTTCTCTTGAGTGCACATCCAGCCACAAAGTTTCATCAGTCCTGCCCTTGGCAACTTTTTAACATCTGCACCTTATTGCCATCCCCTGCCTTAGATCTTTTATTCCTCCTGGAGGTTTCTGCCTTCTGAGGCTCCTGCCTTCTTGCTGATTCCTCTTGTTCCCACTTCTTTTTTTTTTTTAATTTTTTTATTTATTTATGACAGTCACAGAGAGAGAAGGAGAGAGAGGCAGAGACATAGGCAGATGGAGAAGCAGGCTCCATGCACCGGGAGCCCGATGTGGGATTCGATCCCGGGTCTCCAGGATCGCGCCCTGGGCCAAAGGCAGGCGCCAAACCGCTGCGCCACCCAGGGATCCCTTGTTCCCACTTCTGTTCTAGCCGCCGTGCTTTCCAAAAATACCCATTGATTGTGTCACTCTAGTGCTTAAAATCCTGACGTGATTCCCCAGCACCTCCAGGATGGAATCCTAGCTCAGTAGCATGGTATACACAGCACACCCAGCCCAACAAGGTGACTCCAGCTCCTGCTCTCTTCCCTCCTCCATCTCACATGGATGCTCCAAACATTCTAGACTCTTTGGCCCCAAACAAGGCACTCTTCCTCTCCTTTCCATGTATGCGCACCTGCTGCCCCCTGTGCCTTGAATATCTGGTTCTTGTTTCCTTCTTTCTAAGTCACATTCCTCCCTCACCTGGCCCAGGTAACTCCTAGGTGGATGCGAAAACTCACCTGCTCTGGGAAGCTTTCCTTTAAGTGACACACGATGTATAACTCTGCCACAACACATGTGCTATTGGGCATTTTTGCTGTTGCTGTTGTCAGCTTTTCTACTAGAGTTCCTCTAAAGCAGGAGCCCTAATTAACTCATCTATACATCCTCAGTGTTGAGCAGAATGCTTGGCACATAGTAAATGATAAATGTTGAATAAATCAAAGGAAGCTCTTTGATACTGTTGTCAAGCCACAATTCCTACTGAATTCACCTCATTTTGCAACACTTCAAGCATCCCAAATACTTCTACCAGAAAAAAAGAATCATCTAAGTTCCAAAATCACTGACACCCATACAAAGAACACATTCCAGCATTGGCCAAAAGACAGAGATGGTGTGAGGGTAGATGCATAAAAAGCATGACCTGGTGGCTTCCAGAGGCTTCTCTCCCATTCTACATCTCCTACCTCTTCAGAGAACACTTTTCCAAACAGGGCAAAGGGTGGCTTGGTGGGAACCTGGGCCCGTGTAATCCACATTATACCGAGCATTGCTTTGGGGAAGAAGAGCCCCTTGTTCCTTGGGCTAGAGCTCTACTTCCCTCTCCTCGAGGGCACCTCTGAAACGTTAGCAGACCTGAATACGGAGCCAAGGAGGCGGGCAGAAAAACTTCTCCGGTACCTGACCCAGTGTCCTCACCAGAGTGCTCTAAGTTACCATCTCTACCCATCACGCCAACAGAAAGAAGCGTGCCATCGAGCCTGCTGGGAATCTAAGCAAGAAACCACAGTACCTTGGAAGCCCGGAGTTTCCCCAGGTAGGAGTCATCGTTTTCCAACGTAGGGTGCTGGAGAGGGTCTCGGGGGAAAGGCATGGTAAAAGGCGGAGCGAGACGCGGCTGCGAGGGACGGGAGCCCGCGCAGCCGCACACGACGCACGCGGAGGATCCCGGGTCCCAATTGTTTGGAACGCCCAGTTTCGGTTGCCAGGCAACTCCCCGCCATCTGTGACTGAGGCGAATTCCCTTCGAGAAGGGCGCCACCTGGCGGTCCGGCGCGGAGACACCCCTCGGGAGGAAGCTCCGGGAACGCAGGGCGAAAGCGCCCGCGGCGAACCAGGGAGCCCTGCGTGTGCACTCGGGGGCCTTAGTCGGAAAACGCCGGCCTCCGCCGGGCAGCAGTCCTGCAACACACCTCCGTCCAGTAAAGAAGCCCCAAAAGATGACCCAGGGATTTGCTACTCCGTCGCATCTAACAAAATAATTTTTCAAAGCAGTGAGAGAATGAGCCGGAAGAGCCCAGGCGTCGTGCTTGGAAAGTTGCAGGCTAGTGCAGACACTCCTTGCTTAACCTCGGCTTAACGGGGCCAGCCTCAAGGCTTCGCACGGAGCCGGTTGGAGAGGCGCGGGTGGATGTGGCCGCATGGAGCAGGATCTCCAGAGGCGGCTGCAGCAGCAGGTGACACCTTCCGGAGCCACGCTCCCAAGGCTGTAACCTCTGGAGGTGAGACGGGGCCCCAATCGTCCTCCGATCGCTGCACACAAAGTGTTGTCGAACGCCACGTCTGCAAAACATTAGAGATGCTCCCAAATGGCCCACGGCCCGAAAGAGCAGTGGAAACGGCGACTCCGGCGGCGGCCCGGGCGCTGCTGCTACCGCGTTCTCCGCACGCCCCCTGCGCCCGCCTGTTGGGCCGGTTGCGGACCCCCGGCGCGCGCATCCCCCGCGGCGGCGGCTGCCATGGCGACCGGCAGGTGAGCGGCGGAGGGGCTCGTGGTCCCCGACCCAGCCGCGCGCAGCGAGAGGAGGCGGTTGCCAAGGCGACGTGGGTAGGAGGCGAAGAGGAAGGAGGGAGGAGGAAGGATGGGCGGCCTCGGCGTAGCCGCAGGGAGGTGACCGAAGCGAGCCCAGCCCCTTGCATCCTCCCCCTGAGAACCTCCCTCCCCTATTTTTCCGCCTTCTGCCAGCAGTAGCCGCAGCCGCCGCAGCACCTGAGCCGCTGCTGCCGTCGCCCAGGACGTCGCTATGGCAGAGCCGAGGCGCAGCCTCCATCCCTCTGCCGGGGGCACGGGGAGAACCGAGCGGCGCACGCTCCGGCTCCTGCGGCTGCTGCTCTGGGTTGGCACCGCCGTCCAGGTGACCCGGGGAGCGGGCCCGGAGCTTCACGCCTGCAAAGAGGTACTGTCTTCCGCGACCCGACCCCACGTTGGTCAGAAAAATCTTAGATCCTGGCGGAGACCTTGGGGACCCAGGCACACACAGTTTCAGAGGCCACGGAGTTTACGTCTCTTTGGGGATGAGGCGTGGGGAGGGGGGAGCGGGAGGGAAGAGGAGCCGACTGGCGTCACGGAGAGGCCGGCCCACTGGAGGACCCACTAAACGGATCATCCTTACAGCCTGAGCCACTGAGCTCGGAGGGCAAGGTCCCAGGTCCCTGGGCTCGGGGATGAGGGAAGAAGATACGGGTTGTTTTCCAGCTGCAGTGAAATTACCTTAAAAGTAGTTGAAAACAAAAGATTATGTACAGAGGGGCAAATTAGAAAGTGAGAGGAAAGAGCGGGGTTAAGAAAGGAGTTAGGAAGGCCAGAGGAGAGTAGGGGAGCAAAGTGGGAATCCTTGTGGTTTTATCATGGCTTCAAGAAAAGGAGTGTGAAGGTGGGAGATGTGCCAGGGGACCGAAGGAACCCGCCACCTCTCCCTCCCCCTTGTTAAACATCCAGTTGCCTTGCAGCTGCTAATTACTTTGCCTTCTCCAGTTCCGTTTGTTTAATGTACCTGACAGCACACGACCACCTCTGACCAGACTTTGAGTCTGAAATATCTGGCTTTCCACCCGTCTCCACGTTCCTTCTCTGGACTTCCGCTGACATATGTCATAAGTTTGTTTGTTTTTTTTTTTCTTCAAGGTGTTTCTAAAATGTTGCCAACACAATTCAGACAGTAGGTAGTGAATGTCTTCCAACCAAAAATTCTTTGAGCATTCTCTTTGGAGGGATATACAAAGGTATTAAGGAGTAACAAAACTCAGTAGTTTCTATAGTGTTGAAGTAACATTATTTGGTTGTTCTCCGAGTAACCTTTTCTAACCATATGGCAAAGGCAGCAACAAAATACAAGAACTGCATTGGGGAAGGCAAAATAAGAGTTGTTCTGTTATCTCTGTGAAATGTGAAAGATTTTGTAATACACCAGGAGTCTAGCCCTGTAAAAAAAATCTCCAATGTCATACTTGGTTAGGGTTTTGAGAGACTGAAATACTTTTTGTAAGTTGTCAGTATTAACTGATTAGTAACAACAACCCCCTCCCATATGGAAATATATTATTATGAAGGTGCTCTATCCAGTAGATTGTCTACAACATAACAGGTCATGAAGGAGTGGAAGTTGGGGAGAGGAGAGAGAATTTTTTACTTCATTCATGAAGATGACACAAATGATCCCAGTCAATGGCACTTTTGGTAACTTTTAACAGTTCCAATGATGACCTGCCCTGGGCCATCTACATTTCCACTAAGTCACTTTAGGACCTGTTTTGTTGTTGTTGTTGTTTTTAAGATTTCATTTATTTATTAGAGAGAGAGGGCATGAGCAGGGGGAGGTACAAGCAGGCTTCTGCTGAAAAGGGAGCCTGACGTGGGACTCTATCCTAGGACCCTGATGTGGGGCTCTATCCTAGGACCCTGAGATGAAATCAGATGTTTAACCAACTGAGCCACCTAGGCACCCCTTTATGACCTGTTTTAAAGATGGCTAGGAACAGGATGATTTTCTAAGTGACTCTTGCTTACTGGCCTTGGTGGTGTGTGGTGTAACCAACTGAGATAACTAGTTCAAGCAAGTGCACTTGCCTAAGAATCCACCATGCAAGTCTCCTGAGTGGAAGGTAAGAATTATACAGTTCAACTACTACTTCTTGGTGAGATCTTGTCAACTCTGGAAAATGTGAGACATTTAAGAAATTAAAGACTTTATGGATGCCTGGATGGCTCAGTCCATTAACCGTCTGCCTTTGGCTCAGGTCATGATCCCGGAGTCCTGGTACTGAGCCCTGCTCCGGTTCTCAGTGGGCAGCCTGCTTCTCCATCTCCCTCTGCCTGCCACTCTGCCTACTTGTGCTTGCTCTCTCTGTGTCAAATAAAAAAATAAATGTTTAAAAAGATTTTATTTATTTATTCATGACACACACACACACACACACAGAGGCAGAGACACAGGCAGAGGGAGAAGCAGGCTCCATGCAGGGAGCTGGACGTGGGACTCGATCCCGGGACTCCAGGATCAGGCCCTGGGCTGAAGGCGGTGCTAAACCGCTGAGCCACCCAGGGATCCCCAATAAAATCTTTTAAAAAAAGAAGTTAAACACTTTGTATCATGTCAGTTGGGAGGGAAGGAAGAATATTGATGCTTGAGAACTCTAACCGGGGTACAAATTTTGTGTTTAGTCCTTTTATTTATTTATTTTTAAAAGATTTTATCTATTTATTCATGGGAGACACACACACACACACACAGAGAGAGAGAGAGAGAGAGGCAGAGACACAGGCAGAGGGAGAAGCAGGCTCCATGCAAGGAGCCCGACATGGGACTCCATCCCAGGTCTCCAGGATCAGGCCCTGGGCTGAAGGCGGCACCAAACCACTGAGCCACCCAGGCTGCCCTGTTTAGTCCTTTTTAAACGGCTGACATTTGCCTAAGCAAAAGATCTTGCTGCAGAGCATGAACTCAGGACAGTGGAAATCTGTGCAACTGGACGTACCAGGGTTCTAGTCCCTGCCTGTTACCACACAGTTTTTGCATCTGTACAATGGGTGTTTCAGTAACACCTACCTCAAAAAGGATCACTTTAAGTCTTGAAAGAGAAAATACAAAATAAGTGCAAATTAGAGTTACTTAACTCCCTTTCCTGTTCAGCTTCCTTACCCTTAGATCCATACCTCATGCCAGAGTCAAAGTGACTTAGGAGTCGCGCTCATTGGCCACAGAAATAGCAAATCCTGTTTAGACTCTCCTTGAGCAAACAGTGGCTGCCAGACACCCTTGACTCCAAATAATAAGGAAGAGAATAAACCCATTGTTACAACAGTCTTCATTTGGCAATATGAACTGACTCAACAAGTTTGGGGGCTTCCATCCCTAAAAGATGAAAAACCAATTCAGGGTAGACTAACCCTTCTCTTAATCTGCATATGAATTTCTTGGGAGTCCATGGTGGGTATACTGGCAGGGAGTCTTATCAGGCCAACCCGATATGACAGCAATGCTGTTCCAGTCTCATTTCTGAATCTAAGGTACCCCCCCAGATCTAATCAGGAAACAGAGGTTTAGCATGAGGCCTACACTGAGGGGCAGAGAATGGGAGTTCTAGATTGCTAAACCTGTGCTGGGGGGTGACAGGCCTTTGCTCTCATAGTTTTACAATAATCGGATGACCAGTGGAACTAAGCATCCTGTATGGTATTTGTTTTCATGAATCATTTCTTTTTTTTTTTTTTAAGATTTTATTTATTTATTCATGAGAGACACAGAGAGAGGCAGAGACACAGGCAGAGGGAGAAGCAGGCTCCACACAGGGAGCCTGACGTGGGACTCGATCCTGGGTCTCCAGGATCACGACCTGGGCCAAAGGCGGCGCTAAACCGCTGAGCCACCTGGGCTGCCCCATGAATCCTTTCTTTAGCCCTCTGCCAGCCTGGGCCAAGTGCTGACTGAGAGCCAAAGGAGCATTTCCTATAGCACAATAAATATGAATCAAATGAGAGAGGAGCAGGAAATCTTTAACTGATCCACCCTACCCTGAGGCTCCAGTGCTAATTGCCCCTCAAGGTACACTTCCCAGTCTATACTGAAGAGTCCATTGGGCTTGGGAACCGGGCATACATAGGATTGTAATAGAATTGGATGAGTGAGTGATGATGACTCTGGCACTTAGTAAGGATGCTACTTTGAACAAGTTGACTAACTTCTCGTGGCCTCAATTCCTGATCTGTAAAATGGGGATGGTAATACTCATTATCGTTCTTACTCTCACAAGGCTGTTGTTAGGATTACATTAAGTTAGATAACACATATAAAATGCCTAGTGCATGCCCTTGACATGTTGCAGGTGCTGAAGAAATATTGGTAGGCAGAAAAGGTAGGTACACAAATCAGGATATAGAGATGATAATGCAAAGTTAACATGGGGTAAACCATGCAGGAGTGGCAATACAGAGGTGAAAAGGAGAAGAAGGAAACATATTTGAACAGTTGGCACTTACTTGACCTACTTCTGGAAGAATCAGTAGGACTGCAATGGGCAGAGATGGATTAGGTAGAAAAGGGAGCCTGCAGAAACTTCCACAAGGAAAATGCAAGGGATCCTGGGATTCCCAAGGCTGCTAGTAGACCAGGCGGATGAAATGTGAAGTAGGTGTGAGTGCAGGAGGAGATAAGGTTGGAATGTGGAGTAGGTGTGGGAGACAATAGAAATCAAGGTTGGAAAGTTAGAAAGCCGAAGTAGAGAATCCCTGAAGGATTTCTGGCAGAGATAGCGGAGTGCTCAGAGTGGATTAGTCTGAATTAAAAGAAACACGAGGTAGGCCAGAAGGTGAGAGCAGAAGATGGGGGCAAGGAGACCAGTCAAGAAGCAGGCTAGCAGAGGGATTGTACTGGCTGGTGGCAGTGGGACACATGGAGAGGTGTAGATATGAAAAATATGCCAAAGGTAGAGGTTAGAGGGTTTGACAACTGACTTGAAGTATACGGTGAAAGAGAGGAGCAAGCCAAAGGTTTTGGTCAGGGTTTTAGAGTAGCTGTGGGAGATGCAGAAAGAACAGCTTTAGGAGCAGAGTGATGACCTTTCACAGTTCTGACTTCCCTGGGGTCAGCCCCTCTCCCGGGAGGGAGAAAGTCCTGAGACCCTGGCATGATACTTTACTGTATGATCATAGCTTCTGGGTTTTTATATTTCTTCCTGTGTTTGGTTCTTTTTTTTTTTTTTTTTCGCCTGTGTTTGGTTCTAACTCGTTATTCAAGGTTTGAATTCCATAGGGAAAGTAGTAGATCGAGAAAACACTCAGGACCCCTGAACTTTCAGGAAATATTTTACAGAAAGCCTAAAATCTAAAGTGACTCCTGGGGTCACCTTAATAGGCTTAGTCCATTAAGCTTCTGGCTCTTGGTTTCCGCTGGGGTCATGA